CTGCTGTCACTTTCTGCTTTAGGAAAAGTCTTCACTTCTTGTATATGTCATGTGCAAAATAAAAAGTATTCTGCAAATGAATGAATGAACCAAGAAAGAGAACAATAATACCCACTAAGCCTGCACTCTGAACTAATGTTCCTTGGCTTTAGAGCAGTCTACTAAGTGAAAACTACTGTACATCAGCAAATGCTATATTACACAATGCAATTGAAGGCAGTTAAAGCCTGTTCCATTAAAAAGAGAGTCAAGTGAGTTTGCATTTTTTTATGTGGATAAGATGTCAAAAAGAGACAAAAACAGGAAGCTGGGAGGAGCAGGGCAGCAGATCCTTTATTAAATTAATAGTTTGCTATCTATCTGCAAAATCATGGATTACATTTTTATTTGGTGTGGGATTGACACCCCAAACTATGATAATCATGTGAAGTCAATTTAAATAAAAGGAAAGGAAGGATGGGGAAAAAAAGAAAGAAAGCAGAGGAGGGATCCCTCATCCAGGACAGATATCAATAATAGATGTAGAATATACAGGGTAGACAGAGACTGGCCAAACTGCTACATACTAAGCAACACTACAATTGAGATGTAAAATGAGATCATTGATCATTCATGTTTTTTTATATTTTTTAAACTTGCAATAACCGGGACCACTTGGAGCATCAGAAACATGTTGTAAATACAACACATATGAAATATTATCACCTTTTATGGGCAAACTTGTACAGTGGCCCATTTACACATCCGGCAGAAATGGAGCAACATTAACAGTCCATCTGATGAATGTAGGTCCAAGTCATAGTCCTTTTAGCTCTGTTATTGTTCAGAGGGAAATGTCTGGCTCTTTAGCTTTAAAATTTTTTACTATGTTCATCAATTAGTCCCTAACTTTGTCCGTTCGCGGTGGGCAGGTTGTGTACAGCAGGTTTATCAGAGACTTTCTGTTGAAAAAAAAGCTGCCTGCTGCATCCAAAAATCACACCATAAAACCAGTGAGACTGAACCAAAACAGTAAAGTAGATTATGCACATTAATAAGCATTGTTCCCACTTTAGATCCGATACCCCCAAAAAGCACGATGAACTGTTAATAAATGCATAGTTAACTGCAAATATAAGGAATAATGAAGTTTAGAAATCTTAGGAAAGCAACAACAAAAGCTTAGTAAATAGTTAACAATGACACGATATTGATATGTAAGTAAGTTGAACTCAATAAATGTGTTTGTGATCATATAAACAATTATAACAAATAATTATTAACTTTTTTAAGCCGTCTATAAACTGTCTAACAGTACATGTGTTTCACATTAACACTTATATAGTCTTATTAACATATTTTAATGTCAAAAGCACCTTTTAAGGCCCTCCTTATCTATTAATTAATGCTTTATTACAAGTACCTTAACAAGTGGTACCACACTTGCTGTCACATCATCAATGAATTCACAACACCAAACTAATTTTAAGTTAGCCTCTGTAACTCTTGCTGAACAGCAGCCACTGTGGCCAAAAAGATGATGATAAATGCTAAAACATAGTGTGCAACAGTAGCACAAGTAAAGAAGAGTCAGCCAAATGACTCTGGGATGTCAGCTTCACAGCAATATTTATCTAAGGTTTCCTTATGTTTGCTAACATTAGCCCCCATAAGCTGGCATAAGTCAGGCAGACCAGGTAAGGCTGCAGCAGCAAAACATAATTAATATGGAGTGTGGACTTTGGTACTGGAGAGTGGCCGTTCACCTCCCTGTGCAACTGCGGAGGGTGCCCTGAGCAAGCGAACCCTACACCCTGAACCTGCTGCCGTGAGGCGCTGGTAACCGCGGCAGGCCTCCCTCACGTCCACCTATCGCTCCTCCTTTGCATGGTCGACAGTTACGATGAAAGTGTGCATTTCAGCCTGTGAGTGTGTTGCTCGTAAAAAAAAAGAGTGAAAAAAAAACAATTTCCCCCTAGGGGATCAATAAAGGATATCTTCTTCTTTCTTCTTCTTCTTGTGTGCGTTAAATTGAGCAAGGGTGCATTTAATGAGAGCTCCATGTCAACATCCAAAAGGACGACATTATTAAATATTAAAACATCCTAACAGCTTTCTGGGGCTTCTCATCAAAATCACAGTGGGGCACAATCCATTCCTAGCCCATGACTACAGGACTCAGCATTCAGACCCTGCTTCTGCTAAAACAGACCACTCGATCACATCTCTGCAGCGGCTTGGCAGCCAGCATCTGTCTGCTTCTGTCCTCGCCTTATTTCTTCCCCAGTTTGTCTTCAGCCGGCCAGCTCAGCAGACTAGTGAATAACTGGACCATGTCCTCAAACTGTCTCTCTGAACCACTTTATGAGAGTTTAACAGAACATTTATTTTGTTTTTACTGATTGTTCCCTTTCTGAACTCTTTCTTTTGCCCTCCTCTCTTTGCTTTCTTTTCCACTAGCAGTCGTCTGTTCCACTTTGGTGCAGAACTGACACATGTTGTCATGTTACAGCTGCAGAGGCCTTTCACTTTTTTCACACAGCTGGTGCTTCCCGCAGTAGAGCAGACAGTAATGAGGCTCCTATTGAAGCCAAATCAGTGAAGATATCAGATGTCTGTATCAGTGCAGGAATATACCATCGCTTGGATAGATCAGTATAGGATGTAGCTGAACGATGAACCCGTCAAATTAAAAGCCTTTTTTTGCAAATTGGCACTCCTTACAGAACTGTTCTGGCGCAGGCTGCTGGAAGAAGCTTTTGCTGTAGAAGGTTTTCTTTTTCACTTATAAGAATTCAAAATGTCCAAGCTTAAGATTTAGGTCCACAGCAATATCCTTGACTGTGGATCACTGTGTCTCTCCCCTTTAACTGATGTCGAACTTGGACCAGCGACAGAACACGAGGGGAAGGGTGGCCTTGGTCTCAGACAGCTAGATAGATAGAGGGAGAAAGAAAGAGAAAGAGACGAGAGGCAGCAAGGCAGAGAGTACTCTGGCTATACGTAAGTACTCATGTTCCACATATTGATCATTCACACATGCATTACAAATGAGGCCGAGCAAGAAAACACCTATCCTATACATTTCAGCAGGATACATGTCAAAAAGAAATATCTGTGGCCTGAGCACGAGCACATTTTGCACTGCCGTCTTTGTCAGTTCAAGGTGGCGGTGTCGTTTTTTGTTTGCCCAACGCTGTCTTTTGGAGCAGAGATAAGTTAAAGAACACAGGAGGAGGGGGAAGATTTGACTGAAGTCAGCACATGATAGTTTTATAAATCAGCTGGCTGGAAAAGTTGGGAGATTAAATGAAGTGTGGTGACTATGAATAATGCACAGAACAGACAAATGGAATAGAGGCCGAGTTGTGGTTAGTCTATGCAGATGTGTTGTGTCCTTTAAGATCAGACTTATTTGTATTAGTGTAGAGTTGTGTACTAATTTACAACATGCTTTCCAGAGGATTCGGATTTTGCAGCTGACCCTGTTCTAACTAGGTTGCTTGGTGTAGTTAGGCTTCCAAATGCTGTAACATCCTACAAAAACACCACTGCTGCCTGCACTAGATTCAGTCATAAGTTTCCTAAGAGCAGCGTTGGTCAATAAAGATCTCCCAAAAACCCAAACAAATGGTGAAGATGGAGTTTTAGCCTGCTGCTATAGTATTCAGTTAATATTTCAAGAGCTCCCAGACGCTTGTATGGCAAGTGTGTCGTGTGTGTTGTTTCACATTAAAAAGCACAGGCTACTTCTGGGCATGCAGCCGTCTCTGGGGAGTCGATATGCTGTACACAGTGGATTCCTTAATGCTGTGGCCATTTCACCTCCTCACTACCAAGCATGTGTATCACTGAGTGGAAAGGATTCAGGCATGGCTGAAGGGTAAACTACCTACTGCAGTTTATCCCCTTTTTATTTGGAGAGTAGAGCTATCACACTGCAATTACTGTCTCTCACCTTAATAGGATGCACAAAACTACACTAAGTTACGTAAAAGGAAACTCCACTGATTTTACACACAAAGGTCAGTTTTGTGTTGATTTGGGGAACCACTCAGCTTGTGCAAACAGTTGAATAATGTCTCCTGCAGCTCTGGAGGAGCTTTATCAACTCAGAGAAAATATTGATAATGGATGACAGAATTATTTAAACAGATGCTGCTGCTTTTCAGACATGGAGTTTGAGTGATGTGGGCGGTTTATGAGGCAGGGAGGCTCTACCTAAAACATGCTATTGGTTGCATTATGGGAAATGCAGGATCTAAATCTGTATCCACAGATTCTAACCATTCTTTTTGTTCGTCTCCCAACTTCACGATACTGTCACTGTCTGCAGTGGCGCTTTAAAGTGAGGATTAAGGGTGGTTTTTTTTCTCTAAAAGGATTGCCATTATTGGGGGTTGCGTGCCTCATTGGTCACTGATCTCCAAACTATCTTATTTATGATGGCCTCACTGGAGTCAAAATGTTGTATTCAACCAAGACCACACACACACACACAGTAAACCAGTCAGAGCATCATGTTCTAGCTACAAGAAGCTCACAGACTGCCTGGTTACTAACTGTGGTATCCAGAACACTCCCTTTGCCTGCACAGTGTATGTAGAGTCCACATGACAGTGCAGAGCTGGACTGCGACGTTAATTAGTGAGAGTACTGACGCTGCACGGAGCTGTTCACAGACAGCGGTGCTGAAATGCTGCCGCAACACATGGAAACTCTAAGCAGTGTAAAATGTGGCCACATGTCAAACACAGACTGCAGACATGTCAGTATGACATAAGCGTGATATGCTGCGATATGAAGAGTTCGAGCAGGAGTTATGCAGGTGAAGTGACACCCCTCCTGTAAGCAGGCTACAGCAGCCTGGCAGCATGACAACGCTTAACACTTAAATGCGCCATCTGATCAAACGTAGGAGATGGAAAACCCGCAAAACTCCATAACAGCTCCCCAAAATCCCGACACAGTAACGGCGCCCCAAAGTAAAAGGCCACGATGACAGACTCAACATCACTTACACATAAGCGTGGTAGATGAACGCCCATCCCCGCGGTCTCTCCAGCGCATTGTAGAGGAAATTCTGTAGTTTCCGATAGCTGGCATTTTTCTTCGACGGTCTGGGTCTCCCGGCGGAGATGCTGGACCTGGGTCTGCAGAGGATGCTGCTCCGCTTGGTGCTTTCCGAGCCCGCAATGAGCAGCGCCCCGTCCCTGTTGGATTCAGGAGCACCGGGGTCCAACCCAACGAACCCGACTTTGTGCTTCTTCTCTCCGGTTTGAGTTGGGTAAACCCCGCCGTTGAGAGATTTCTGCACCATTCTAAAGTCGAGACGACTCTGACGAGGAGCTGTCCGTGTCCTTGCCGCGGGGACGCATCACCGGTGCTGAGGGGTGTGTGCTGCTGCTGCTGGTGGTGAATGCAGTCGGTTGTCGGTCTCACCCCCCCCCCCCTTCCCAAGAAAACCAATTGCAATAACCACAAGAAACTGCACAGTGTATGCTTTTACCTTAGCACCATCCGTCCATTTGACAAGCGAGGAGAGAAATGCACATGATTTTCACTCCACAGTCTAATCATTAGCCATCAGCAATCTAAAGGCTGTCTGCAATCCTTTAATAACCAGAATCCCTTTTTGTGCAATAACATCTGGGCTGTCAGTTTGGAGCTTTTCAGTCAAAACAATTACAAGTTGCTGATTAGGAGGAGAGGATCATTTTTGTGTTTTTTTGGGGGGAAATTAAGTCTTTTATTTCTATAAAATCTATCCCGAGATAACCTCCATCCGCTCCACTCAAGTCCAAGAGAGCTGCGAATAATGCTTTCATTTAATGCTGCATGGTCATGGAATATTCATATGTGCAGACTTCCTCAGTCAGGGCTAAAAACTATGTCAAGCTGTGGTTTTAAGGATTATACTCTTTGATTGAGTAATAGGACACATAGAGAACTTGCCAAAATCTTGAAGCGTCCGTCAAACATTAGCAAGACATCTCAGCCCTCACTTAAGCTGAGCACTTAAATGAATATGCTACATAAATGTATAGTAATGTATAAAAGTATGTTCTGAGTGAGTCCCATTTTCCCATGATAAGCCTCAGGTTCGGAAGAAACCAGGATCAAAGAGCGTATGTACAGTGACTTAAAGAAACATTATGGACTGAAAAATGAAAACCACTTCAGTCAGAGGTCTTATTGTTGACTTCCAGTAACACTTAGTCACAGCCTGCCGATATGGTGTGATCAGGCAAAGAGATGTAATAATCTTCTGTGAGTCATTCCTGTGAAACTGCAGTCAAACACAGCAGACGACAACAAAGGCAACATAAACATGGGTAGGACACATTGTGAAGGAGCAAAATTACAAGATTGTAGTAAAATTGTTGGATCATCACTTGCTTCACTGAAACACATATTCATACTGTGAACATTTTATTTACTATCTTGTTAAGATTGCATTTACAATGATAATTTTAGAAAGATTCAACAAAGATCCTTTGTACAGTTATTTTCAAGCAACATAAAATTGCAAATAAAGTATATACAAAAACATTAGAATAATGTAAATAAACGTGTAATCAGTGACATATTCGTTTGTCCAGCTACACCAACATGCTGCAGTCATTAGCTAATTTAAACGGGTGACACACACTTAAAACCAGATTCTGAGTTCATACAATGTACACTGCTCAGATTAAGATCTAATTTGTTGAGGGACATTATAATGAGTCTTATATGCCGAAAGAGGGGTGCAAATTTAGAGCGGCCATGCTAGTGCCGAGGGATGTGTAGATACTATTCCAACATGCTCATTTGGAACCAGACTGCTTTTAAATAAATAAAAGGGATTAAGTGATCCGCCTAATGAAAGCAGCATGTCAAGACAGATTCTTGAAATGCACGTCGAACCTTTTTAACAGTCAAAAACAAACAAACAAGTTGTAAGTGAGGTTACGCTCAGCAAAGAGAAACAGCTTCTCTTCAAACGCAGTCATGAATAGAAAATGTTTTCTATACTATATTATCTCCATAAAAATAATCCAATTTAATTTATAGCATTACTCTGCTGCTGTGAGACACATCCTATCTTTTTCTCTGACATTGTTACAGTTTGTATGTACAAGAAATTAAAATCTTCAGTAAAATAATGTTACTGGGTTTCAGTCCTGAAACGATCCCTTTGTTTACATCATCCACAAACTGCATACAGTACTTTTTGCTAACACTACAACTTGAATGGACCAATCGTTGTGCTTATTTTAATACCTACAGTAAATACAATAATCCAATGACAATGTAAAAACCAATTTAAAATCAAAAAAATGTCTTAGTTAACAGAAGGCAATCCCTCCAACTAGTACATTTGAATTAATATATTAATAATTTAACAAAGATTCCATATCCCAACCTGTTGACTTGGCTGCTTATTGTCAAGCAGCCTTATATAGTTTGCTTTAGCTTCCTTTGTCCTGATTCTGATTAGCTAGCTTCTGTTCTTCTTCCCACCCTTGCTCTCCCTGAAGATCAAAGTAACACTTTCTGACATGATAAAAGTCCATACATATAAATAAAATACACAAGCAGTTACGTCTAAAAAATGGCATGCCATTGGTCCTTTAAATACTGTTCAATACGTAGGCTGGAATGCTTTTAGATTCTTTAATACCTGATATAGTATAAGTGAGGGATAAAATGCTCCTTCCGGACACAATAAATAACTATCCTTCATATAGTGCAGTAATACAGTACTCACACTAAACCTACAGTAATTGCACAGTAACCACATGCAACGGGCTGAAGAAAGAGCAGCCCCCCCGATCATTCGTCTTTTCATCTGTCCCTCAATCCCTACTTCCACCTCTCTGTCTATCTTTAACTTTCTATCTATTCAGCCAGCCAACCGACAGGAATACCAGGGTATTCACAAGTATTCTACTTCACTTGGGGTCCAAACATTGAGCCCTGGGGAACACCGGCCCAAACAGAGAAAGAGACAGCTCTCTGGAGTTGCAGTCCAAGGCAAAATGGATAACATCTGCATTTAGGATGACAGTCAGCTACAGGTAGTTTGGTTAATCCAGTTAATAATAAGAGCTCTGTTATGAGCATAATCACTGTGGATGTCTTCTTATGAGGCCTTTAAAATGGCATCTCCCTTTCACTTATGTTGTGAATATTTTGCACCAGTTGTCAAGTCATTCATGTCAGCTTTGTGTAGACAGACAGCCAAAGCATTAATACTTCTGGGGGGCTTCCCAGCATAACAGTACATGAGTTGAGTATAGTCTTGAGTTTCAGGCTTTATCAGTCTCACCGTAGGTGCTCCCTGACATTAGTCTTTTTTAGCCTGTATGTTGCACTGAAGAAGCTAGTGGTATCCATGGTGGAATGATCCCTGTGTAACTGGGGCAGTGGGGGGCGGGGCAAGGGTCTTTCCATTGGCAGTGTGTCTTGGAAGGAAAGCAGTAAGACATGCGTTCTTTTGTCATTGTCATCTCTCATCATATCTTCCTCTTCCACATCTCCCCTTTTCTGATGAGTTCTCTGAAGTGACTGTTTTCTTAGAGTTCTCCATCTGAAGGTGGCAAACACAGCTTGAAGAGCCTGTTGAAAAAGAAAAACCTCAAATGAGGGGAATCTGCCTTGTATAAGACCATGAATGGTATAATCTACTGATGTCGAGGTAAGAGAAGCCTGGCAGTTATACCGTACCTTGGGAATGATGGAGGCATCTGGTCCATTACCTTGAGATTTTTAGCAGAGAGCTCAACTCTTGCTCCCTGGTAGAAGAGAAAACATATGCTATAAGATGAATGACAAACTTATTATTATTTTTTGACTTTCAGTAAAATTGTACCATGGCATACTTTGGTATGACTATCATTTACCAAAATGAAGTTTTCCAAAAGAAATAATCCATGCTAATATTTTAATATATTATTAAGTTATTAATTGTTTATTATATTATATGGTTCAGTGCATCCAATATCAAACTGTCAAAAATGATTTCTGCATTTATTTCCAATATACACCAATATCAGAAGAATACACATACTAATATTGTGATACTGATGGTGCTTACTAAAATAATTTCTACTGCAAAAATACAATTACAACTAACAAACCACACTTTAGTGGGGGAAGTCACAAAAGACCCTGAGGGATCTCTACTGGACTTCCGAGATCAACTGCCCCTGAGGTTTACCTGTTTGCGCATTATATCCATGGTCTGCATGATGCAGCGTGGCATGAGACCGTGGTTCCTGGCCAAGATCATTGCCTGCTCCAGTGTCACATTTAAGGTACATCTGCAAAAAACAAAAAGGCAAAAAGGTCAGCGCTGTGTGGTCTAACAAACACGCTAATGTCCTATCTGTCATATTTGCACCTGCTGGACACCTCAAAGTAGGAATTAATCAAGACAATGAGGCAAAGGGTGCACTTCTGAGGTTCAGCTGTGCATGTCATCCACTCTGCACTGTGTTAATCTTTATTCCAGCTGACAGTCAAGTGGTACTACAAGCAGTATAATAATGTTGGCTTGGTGCCAGGCTGACCTCTGCATGCCTGTACCACACATGGTGATGTGGCAGGCTCCCAGGCGGTTACACAGCTCAGAGGACACACACAGTAGGCTGACACCTGACGGGTGGCCCTGGGCACTCGGGCGCACATTGACGTAAGACTGCATTAGTCGACAGAGGTCATCCAGTGTGTTGAGGGGTCGCAGCAGCTATGAGGAGGAGACAATGAAGGTTGAAGAGGGTCAGCGGTTAAATGGACTGTTGACAAGATGATATAATACAATATTATTAAAAGTGGCCATCTTACCAAGTCATTTAAACTACTATTGACTGTTCAAATCAGTTTTTTTTTTTAAACCAAGTTGAGAAAAAAAGACACTTGTTTTCTATATAATTAAAGTTATCTCAAGACATGTGACAGTATAAAAACATAAGCAGACTAGTTCAAAATAATACAGTCACATCAATTAAATTTGAGACAAATTAGATAAAAAACACACTACTTGATATATTTCTAATATTCAATACTAGACTAGTAGAGTAAGTAGAGTAACTGACTTGTTAAGATGGAGCACGAGCAGAAATCGGGGAAGACCATCAAAAATAACACAAAGAGGTTCAACTCTTTGCAGTCTTTGATAATAAAGCTCTATATATTGAAACTACTGTTTATTCTATTCAGTTTTAATCACTGGAATCTATTTCATCTACAGTCAGTTTGGGACACTAGGATTTTCAGGTTCGAATGGAAGCAGTTTATAATGTTGAAGTGTTGAGGTTAGTTGGAGTTAAAAGG